GGCTTTTCCCTGGTGACATTGCCAAGGGCCTGCGACACTGGCCAGGTTTCCCCCGCCCAGCCCACGGCTCCACCTCCCTCTCTCGCCCACGGATGCTCGGAATAAGCTTTCCCGAGGGCTTGCTCCTGTGAGGGGTCATCTGAGGTGGCTGCGAAGGCAGCGCCTCGCCAGCGTCATGCCGGAAGCGCCCTTGCCGCCGAATGAGGCCGCGTCTGTGGAGGACCGGCCGGGCCTGTCGCAGGCTTCAGACACACGTCCCCTCCCGGGAGTCATTGCCCTTAGCCCTGCTCTTGGCTCGGCCATCCGCTGGGCTCCATCCCCGGGCACCTTTCCAGCCCGTCCTTCGCTCGGGGTGCCTTTAACAGGACACACAGGGGCCTTCCGTGTGTCCCTCCGCCTGAGAGCAGAGGCACAGTTCTCAGGCTCTTCCTGGAAGATGCCAAGAAAGGGGGCAAAGTTCTGGTCGGACATCCCGCAGGCCCGACCGGCCGTGCTGGGGCGAATCGTGCCCCTCGGAGTTCATGTCCACGTGGAAACCCGTGCACGGGGCCTTATTTGGAAACCAGGTCTTTGCAGATGTGGTCAGCTAAGGTGAGGTCACCCAGGGTTGGTTTGGGCGCTGGTCCAAGGACTGGTGTCTTTGCAAGAAGAGGGCGATTTGGACACAGACACCAGGAAGACGGCCATGGCGTGGAGGCAGAGCTGGAGTGCTGCGCGGAGAAGCCCGGACACCGAGGATTGCCAACCACACACGCTGGGAGGAGGCGGGGGGCTCCGCCCCTGGAGGCTGCAGAGGGGGCACGGCTCTGCGGACACCTGGAGCCTGGACTTCCGGCCCCCACGACTGTGAGGAGATCAATGTCTGTTGTTCTCAACCACCCAGTTGGTGGTCCCTTGTGATGGCAGCCCCGGGACACTCTTACACTCCCCCCAAGGTCACACAGAGGGCAGCGGAGGAGAACAAGGAGGGAGGCCAGCAGGCGCGGAAAGCAAGGACTTGGCCGAGCCATGGAGCAGCCTCTTCCTCTCGCCTCGCACAGGAAGCCGGGGACCTCGTGGCTGCGTCTCGCCTGCTGCCACCTTCGTCCCCACAGGAGCGCGTGGGGTTGGTGGCAGGTGAGCGGGAGGTGTTCCCATCGCACTGGTCCCAGGGAGACTCTTCCAGTAGCACTGACCTCGGACATGCTCTTGTCTCAACCTCACAACCACCCAGAAGCAGGTCTGGTTGAGACCCTCATGTATCGGTTAGGGACCAAGGCCAGGCCGTTCGATACCCGCCCAGGGTCATTCATTAGCAGCAGCCAGCGCTCTGCCCTCTACCAGCCTGAGGCTCCGGAGGGCGGGCGGGGGGAATGGGGGTCCGCGGGTGCTGGCCGAGGCAGGGATGCTGAGGCCTGTTCCTGGCTAGCTGTGTGAGCTTGGGCAAGTCACACTGCATCTCCATCTCCCAGTTCTCCCCACTAAAAAAATGGGGACCACAAGACCTACCTGAGGGGCTGCTGGTGAAGGAAATGGGTGTGTATGTTTCTGGTGCTTGGTGCATCGGAAACGTGACCTAAAAGTCTGGAATAAATAAGACACATGGGCTGAGGTCTTGCTCCAGGAGAGGGCTGTGGGCTGCGGACCTGTCTTACCCCCACTCCACAGGCTGGGGGGGACCAAGGCCCAGGGCAGAGCCGCCCCCCTCTGTTTCCCATAGAACTTTGCAGAGATGGGGCCAGTGTCCACCTGCACCCTGGCCGGCTGGTTCGGTCGCTTGAATCTTGCCTCCGAGGCCAAGGGCACCTTTGGTCCTAGTCCAGGCCAGCCTTCCCCTCCCAGAGGCAAGCTCGGACCCCTGCCATGGCCTCCACCCTGCGTCCCGGGCAGCCGCCTCCCGGGTACCTGTGATGACTCACCGTCACGCATCACCCAGGAGAGACGGTCCGTGCACATCCCGACGGCTCTGTCTCAGATCTGCAGAAGGAGCTCAGCATGTGCTGGACAGCGCGTGTGTGCAGCTCGCGTCCACCCCTTGCACGAAGGAAGTCCTCCAGCCTTCTCTGGCCCTTTCCCCATCTTTGTGTCGGGGACCTAAACCTCTACCAGGCATCTGGCCCTTTTATATATATATATATATTTTATTGATTTCAGAGAGGAAGCCAGAGGGAGGGAGAGATAGAAACATCAATGATGAGAGGATCGGCTGCCTCCTGCACACCCGCTACTGGGAATCGAGCCGGCAACCCGGGCATGTGCTCTTGACTGGAATTGAACCCAGGACCCTTTAGCCCGCAGGCTGACGCTCTATCCACTGAGGCAAACCGGCTAGGGCCATCTGGCCCTTTTAATTGGTTCCTCTCCAGATGTCCCTCCCAATAGCCACAGAGTGTGGCCCGGTGGCCCCATGGCCCTGTATGCTCTGCCGAGGTTGAGGGTCCTCTCCATCCCCCCACTGGACAGACCAGCGCGGTCCTCATCCCGTGTGGGCACGCGGCCTCTTTCCTCAGCGCGGCCCCTTGGCTGACCTCAGCTCCTCGTAGCCGGGACACTGGCCGGGCGCCTGCGGGAGGGAGGGCCGGCCGGGGCTCTCCTGGGCTCCTCCCCTTCGCTCCAGGGCTCAGGCCCCAGCTGCTCAGGGTCCTTGCTGAGTTCTCAGCCAAACCCCCAAGTGAGGGCCTGAGGAACCCCATGAGGAAGCCCCAATGTGTAGGGCAGGATTCCATAGCCAATGACTGTCCCCACCCCGACTGGGCAATGCCGCCTGAGGTCCCTTCCTGGGTGGCCTTCCTGCCAGACCCCCTTGCCTACGTCCACCAGGTGCCAAGGGACTGAGAAGCTGGAGAGAGCCAGCCGGCCTCCCTCTGGCACGCACGGCTCCTCTCCCTCCAGCCTCGGTGTCCAGAATTCTGTAACAGAGAGGGACAGACAGGCACTGCATCCGCCCCTGGCTCCCAGAAAGGCTCTTGGGAGCCATGTTGGGCTCCCGGAGGCTCCAGGCAAAACCCTGCACACTGGCTTGGCCAGAGGTCTTGCTGGAACAGCCCTGGGAATTCCACGTCCATTGGCACCATCGGCCCGAGCCCTGAGGCTCCCGCTGCTGGGAGGGGGTGGCCCCTTGACCTCTGCAAGGTCTGGGTGGAGGGACGGACAGCCCTGCCGACACTGACCCCCAGGGCTGAGCCGGCTTCTGGGGGGAGGCAAGTGTGCACTCAGCCACCGCTTGGACCCCGGGGGTAGCCCTGGTATCCCAGGCACATGGGGAAGAGGCGATGAGCTAATGTATTAGGACGCGTTTTCTGAAAAACAGAAGCACTATTTATGCAAACACAAGGTGCTGAAAAGATGCCTGTTTGCTTCCCAAAGTAAAAAGTTATGAATGATTTAAATTGTATGCAAGTGACTCCTTCGGTGCGGCCACAGGCCAAGTGGTTGGGGGTGGGGGGCTTCTGCCGGGCACCCCCACTCTGCTGGGTTTTGTGAAAAACATACGAAAGCGGAAGACCCCGTGCCTGGCACCGAGTAGGCATTCCCTGCACCATTGCTGGCGGATGAATAAGCGTGAGCTCTCCCAAGAGCTCCCAGCCCCGTTTGCAAGAAACCAGAGGCAGTGCCGCCATGTGACCAAGTGACAGGGACTAGCATGTGGGATGCCTGCGGAGGGAAGAGGGAGTCCAGGGGAGCTTCTGGGAGGAGGTGGGAAAGGAAAGGAGGACGCCCCAAAGGAGAGGTGGAATTCAAAGAGGGGGAGGGGCTGGCTGGGTAGGCAGGGTCACTCTGCACCACAGGGCTCACAGGTGAGCACAGGGTGACGCACGTGATGGGCAGGTGAGGAGACCACCCGCTGGGAGGAAGTGTGTCCCCCCGCTGTGGGGTGTGGGGCGGGCGTTGAAGGAGCTCAGCTCTGTGCTTGGGTGAGACCCTGCAGCTCATTAGAGGAACCGCGTAGGGGAGAGCGCCCAGGGGAACGTGTGGGTCCTGCAGGGCGAGCTGTGTGTGTGGTGCGGGGGAAGGCAGTGTTCTTAGCCGACGAGTCTGGCATGGATGTGCCCTATGGGGACATACCCAACATCTCGAAGTTCCCCAAAGTGTTTTCCCCTTTCCGGGCCATTTCCCTGTTTCTGGTCCTTAGAATGCCCCGCTGTCCCGCGCCCGGAGGGAACACCTGCTGTTTCTTCTTAGCTTCTGGGAAGCCACCCTGGGCCACTTCCTCCCCCTCCCCCGCCGGCCCCGGGCCATTTTATTTTTATACCCACTCCTTTTTAGGATACTTCTTGGTTTTCTTGCCCGGTTCCCCTTTCAGACTGGAAGCCTCTTGAAGTCTCAGTGTCTCCTGATGGGCACGGATCTCCAGGGCGGGGCTCGGGGTCCAGAAGGGGCTGCTCCTGCACCCAAAGTTCAGAAACCCTGCAGCCCCCTCCACACGACTTCACGGGCGCCACCCACAGAGATCACATTGCAAACAGCGCCCCCTGGAGTTGTGCCAGGCGGCAGGTCCTCATGTTCATGTCCATACTTTCACTCTCCTGTACAGCAAGCGTGTCAGACTCACAGGCCGACACGGGCCAAATAAACAAGGTGTAAGTGGATGCGGCTGCAAACAAAAGCTTCAATTTTCATAGAAACGTAGGTTTATTTCGATAGAGACATGCTGAATACAAACGGCTGAAATAAATGAGTCATCGCTAACATAAAATAACAGAACATTTTAATGAAAATATTTTTTCATGAACATCAACTTATCAGACATTGAATAACTGCACAAATTAATAAGCATAACGCAAATAAACCTATTTTTCTTGTTCTCCGAAAGCGAAATATTTCCATTGCGCACACCAAACAAGTCAGTCCAAGACTAATGACGTGGCCATCAGCTGCTGAAATATTTGCTGCTAGTATTAGTGGAGAGAAATGGTGCGTCTGTGCGTAAGGGGAATGAATGCAACACGATTACAGTCATCAGCCATTAGCAAACCTTGTAGTTCATTATTAATAATTATGTATCACAGATATTGTAAAAATTAAGTCACAAAATTTTTATTGAAACGTTTCTTACATAGCGTTATATTGGCCGGGCTGCAAAAATATTCGTTGTGGGCCGCATGCGGGCGGCGGGCCGCAAGTTTGACGCTTGCTGTACAGTATAGCAATGTTTTTCTGTATGAAAAGAAGATTTGAGATTTGGGGGAAGGGAGGCCCAAGAGAGGAAATGCGTTTTCTTGTGTAACGTAAATAACGACCTTGCATCCTGGTGGGTGTGTGCTTTTTAAGTCTAGGTGTTCAGCCTCTTTTTATTGATTTTTAGAGAGAAAGTGAGAGAGAGAGAGAGAAATATGCCTCCCGCACACACCCAGACCCGGGAACCGAACCTGCAACCTGGGGATGTGCCTGACCCAGAATCAAACCCGCCACCTTTGGGTGCACAGGACCAGGCTCCCACCCACCGAGCCCCGGGGCCAGGGCGCAGCCTCTTTCTAAAGCCGGGCCTGCTGCCCTGTGAGCAGAGGCCGCCATGGCATTCAGGACTGCAGGACATTTTAGCGCTCGGAGCCGCTTCCTCTCAGAAGAGGGGGGTGGGGGTGGGGGGCTCGCAGCCTCTCTGCCACACACACAGCTCCAGGCCGCGCTGTTGCTTAAGGCCGCCCAGTGCTCAGGAGTGGGAAGTCCAGAGTCCTCCCTGCTTCTGGGAACAGCCCCCCCTCCCCGGCTTCCACAGGCAACAGGCAGGCCTCCTGACAGTGGGTCAGGCTCACCCAGGATTTCACAAAGGCCTGGCCTGTTCCCAGCACTGCACAGCTGGGAGGGCTCAGCTCTGGGGTGGAGAGGAGCACCCCCCCGCCCCCCAAGCCCTTGCCTTGGAGAGGGAAGAGCTGCACTTGTCCCTGCTTGCCGCCGCGAGGGCGGTGAAGCCGGGCCTCCCCTCCCTGCTGACTTCCCAGCTGGGCTTAGTCAAGGTTCGAGGAGGAAGAGAGGAGGAGGAAGAGAGGAGCACCCAGGCTTCTCTTCCCGGAAGGCGGTCAGCGGGGGTCTGGGAGTCACCTGGGAGCCGGTGGGGGCTGAGCTTCCCGGACTGTCCTGGGGTCTCTGCTTCAAAAGGGCGCGGCAGCAGCAATGCAGCCCCTCCCGGGGGCCTGCAGGTGTGTCCGTGCGTCCCAGGACCTGGCCGCGAGGGGATCTCGGCCGTGTCTCATTACAGGGCCCGTAGCCTGAAAGAGCCCTGGATCCTCAGCTGGGACCTCCAGCTCTGTAACTGCCCCCCGCAGCCCCCCAACCCTGGGAGACCTGCCTGTGTCTCAGGCCTCAGTTTCTCCATCTCTGGCATGGATGGTTCTGGCTGAGGACAGGGTGATGGGCGGTGCTGACTGGCAGGACTTGCAGGTCTGAACTGGGACAGTGCTGGGCGGACCGGGACAAGCTGGTCATCCCACCCGAGGGTGAGACCAAATTGCGGAGGAGCGACGCGCGGGAAATGCGGCTGGAAGAGGCCCCTTTCGGCACCAGCTGCAGCCCCTGCTGATGTATTTACTGGTAGTTTAGGGTCTGTCACTCCCACTACCTCCCACTAACTCAGGCGAGCGGGGCGAGCAAGGCCTTGTCTGGTTCCACGCGCAATTCCCTGACGCACAGGATGTGTCCACTAAGTATTTGCCGAGTGAATCAATGAGGGAGGGAGGGGCTG